TATAGTGTAGTTAAAGTACTAAATTCTTTTTCATTTTTCACTTATAAGCAATGTATGGTTTTAAACTATCCCATTAAAAAGTATGTAACTAAATCAATGTTTTTCAGTTTTAATTATAACATATTATCTTAATCTTATAATTATAACTTTTATAATAGTATTATCTCGTATCATTTCTCGAGATAACATTGAGTCACGAGACAGTGAATTATTGCTGTTTATCACTCGATATTGTTATTGATATTGAAAGGTATTGTTGGAATATTGTATTTGCTGTATTTTTTTTTTGGTGGGGGGAGGATTAGGTTTTTCCTTTCTGGTTCTTTTTCCTGATTCCATTATTATTGATTTATTAATATTTATGATAAATTATTTATCAATATTCGTGTGACGTCCTGACCAAGCACTTGTTTATTAACAGTGTTGAAGTTAATTCTAAGTGTTGTTATTGTGAATAAATCGTGTTTTTTGTTGTTGAACCCTGATTGCAGCGGCAAGTTAATTTGAGACCGTTACAACTGTGCGTTGCATAAATCGAAGACAGACATTTCAACAACACCTATCTTGGTATCAATGGTTTTTTGGTTTAGTCTAAACATATTTCTATAGCGTTTACATTATTATTTCTAAATGCAAAAATAGTAAGAGACTGGTATAATTAAACATTAATCTACTTTATCAATAAAGTTTCAAACAAATCCAATAAATAAGATAAACAAGAAACGTTCCTTTGAAAGGTTCACAAAATAGTGGTCATTTAATTAGATTTATTTTATTTAATTTACTCAAATGAATTTAACCATAATTATCTAATTTCTTCTAAAATCAAACACACAGTGCTTATGAATTAACTCTCCCTAACTTTATGCACATTTAACTAAAGCTAGTCTGATTAATCTATTTAAAAGCAGGCAAATAAGTTCAGATGGTTTTTTTCATTAATTAATTATACTAAGTTTGAAACTTACTTGACCAGGACCAAACTGATCTCCTCCAAAAGCAGCCACACAAGGCTTTATTCCACCAGTACCGATAGCAATAAGTGTCAGGCCAATCATTGACATAGCTCTGAAAATATCTTTGGCATTACTTAAATGAATGAGACATGCATGTAAGCAATCACTTGAACTCCTTTTTATACATAAAGATGGTTTCTTAATATTCTTATAAAAAAATAAGAACAAAACAAAAACGGTAAATACAATCGATCTGAATATTTTTTTACAGTGAGTGTTTTTATTCGATTCTCTTTGTTAACAGGCCCGGCATGCCCTGGTGGTTAGGGCGCTCGACTCACAATCTGCGAGTCGAGGGTTCGAATCCCCGTCACACCAAACATGCTCGCCCTTTCAGCCGTGGGGGCGTTATAATGTGACGGTCAAT